TCTGCACTAGCATTTTGAAAAGATAAAACACTGAAGATAAATCTTAGACTAATAAATGAATTCAGTGTTCCTTCAAGGGGAAGTTAGTTTTTATTTTATGTCTTAAAGTCAAAAACCCAGACTGTAAAAGGATGAGATCAGATCTCGGTAGATTGCATCAAAGCACACTAATGCTAAGTTTTTCTTCTAGAATTCAACGAGTTGTTTGTTTCACTTGGCCTAAAATTTAGCATTCCCTGTTGGAGTCAGCTCTGTCGCTCCATTATGTTAAAAAAAACTGTGTGCATGTATTTTTCCTCACCCAGGAGACATTTCAATATAACAAATCAACTCACTTTTTTAAATAAAACCCCTTGATATTGTCACTACCTACAAATATCTTGGAATTACTTTGGATTCTCATTTGACTTATCGTGATCATGTACAAGTCTTAAACACTAAGTTGAAACAGAAATTATACGTTTATTCAAAAATTAGATCCAATCTGACATCTTCTGTTTCAAATTTCTATTTTCATGCCATTATACTCTCAACCATGTCGTACTGTTTACCTGTTTGGTCTCTTACAACAAATGAAATCTTAGAACCCATAGTTAGGCTCTACAACAGGGCCTACAAAATTCATAAAAAAAACTTCCTGGTTGGACTCATCACTGTACAGTTCTTTCATTGTCTGATGCCTTGACTTTTCAGAATTATGTTTTGTATAGTGGTATTAATTTATATTTTCAGATCTTTCAAGGTGCCAATTATGGATCTCTCTGTGCATTGCTGCCCAAATCAAATTCTGGAAGTGGTCATTCAACTAGATCTGTTGCAAAAGGACAACTGATATTACCAACTTTTAAAAACGGTTGCGGCCAGAGGTCTTTCTTCTATGTTTATACTAAAGCATGGAATGACATTCCTCAAAACATGAAGTCCATTTCAAAACTACAGCCCTTTAAGAAGAATCCTGTCTGCCATCTGCTGGACACTTTTTGTTGTGCTCATATTTAGACGTCCTATTTTACAAATGCTGCCTTTTTGAAATTTGGTATGCTTGTTTGTCTTTGTGTCTATGGTGTATAATGATGTGATTATGATGCTGTAATTCTGAGTGTTTTATGTGCTGCAGAACAGGAACCTGCTGTAAAACAGCAATTATGCTGAGTCAGGCTTGATTTTTAGTAATCTTTTCCTGTTAAATCAATAAATCAAATCAAAATCCATTAGAGAAATGTACAAAGGAATATAGCTTGTTGTATAGAGGTAGATCTGATGTCGTCTTCAGTAGAGAGAAAATATCTGGTAATGGTGTTGAGAATTAAATGTTTGACTTTGAATTTTTACTTAGTTTTGTTTTCTTTTCAGGCTCTGAGAAGGAGGTAGGAAGATCCAGCAGTCCAGAGTGAGGTAGCAGAGGATAGTCATGTCTGATACCACAGATTTCCTTTTCGATACTTAAAACTAATAAAATTCAGGCAGGTGTTGGTGATACTAATACGGTACTGATACTTTGTGCAAATACACCTAAGATGTCGTAAACATAAAAAAGTAGTACTTTTCAAATCACTGCTTCAAAATACAAAATATAAGAGTGATTTCTTTATTTATGTTAAACTCAGAAGTAATTTGATGTTGCATCCTTATTTACAATATGACCGAGCTTTCCAATAGAAAAAAACAAAAAGTGGACACTATCGTATAAAATATGTGAAGATTAAAACATTAAAGCAAGAAAAATAATAAAACCATTAAAGAAATAATAATTTGCATTACATAAACATGTTTACATGAAAATACTGAACATGTAGCATCTACAGACTGACCTTAGCATTACCCAGGCGGAAGAAAAAGTAGTTCTCCCCAACCGTGTATTATTTAGGCAAGATTTTAATAGTTTAGTTACTTTCCACTGTGTTCCTGTTAATTATATACATTACCTGAAAAGACTGAAGTATCAAAGTATCAATATTTTGATTTTAGAATTGGTTTTAGAGTGTAAAGTTCTAGTATCGGTTGTACTGACATTTCAGTATCGATTCCCAAATCACTAGTGGAGAGTGGGTCATGCAGGTAAGTGGTTTGGTGAGGATATACTTGTTGAGAATTGGCAGCTTGTTTGAGTAAGAAATTTCAGTAAAATCTGAGAAGCCGAGAGAATTTGGAGTTGATTTGCTGTGATGGTCCAGTTCAAAGCTTAGCTGTGCTCTGAGCTGCTGTCATACAGAGGCTGAGATAATCAGTGATTGTCCACAGGTGAGACTACTGCATCAGGAAGTGTGGGAAAGAGAACCTGCCAACCCATAGCTCCACATAAAGGAAAATTTAAAGGAATATGCTGACTGCAAACTGAAGTTGTTCAAAAGAACCATCAACAACAGGTAAGATACTGTTCATAACCTTCCAACAGAACCACACTTCTAAAGATATACAGCAAGTTATCGCCTTAAGCACCCCCTCCCACTTCCTGCATTTTAGATATGGTCAAAGTGTGTCAAAATGTTTTTTTTTTACAGAGAGGAGACAGCAGATAAGCAAGTTGTGATTTTTATTTAGTCCTTTTCACATTCACAGCCTTGCCTGGTGCCATCTATCATGTGGAGTGTTATTTTCTTCTAGCATGAGGTCTGGCAGTCTTGCTCCATCAGTACTGTGTGCATCTGTTGACTTACAAGGATCAGTACTGTCTTTGGAATCTGACTCTGTTCAATTGACGTGCCTCCGGTCTATCTCTGTCTCTGCAGTCCTTGGCCTCTGTTTCAAACATCGACTCTTTCAACCACTTCCACCCTCTCCAATTCCCCCTTCCCCTTCATGGTCTTCAAAGCAGCAGGCAGAGGTCTACAGAAGCTCTGCAGCTTCTAAAATATGGATATTTTTCATGCCTATGGGACRCTGCCTGCTGCAGTGATATGTTTCAAGGCAAAACTGCACACAGCTGTGTTTGTCGCTCAGATGACGTGTGAAAAAATTCCCATTAATCACAAATTATGACACAAAGACACACGTCGCAGTTTATGTCTTGGTTCAGTTTCAATTCAAGTTGAAGTTATGTATCAGGTCAGAAGTACTGACTAAATTTCCGTTTTTACAAACATCGTTCTGATCTTCTGATCCCACAAAGCTGTTATTTCTCCTGTCATCTAAAAAATACCTTCACCGAGCAGCACATAACTGTTACTTTGTGCTCCGCAAAAATCAATTCAGCAAACGTAAAACTAGGCCAGTCTTTTTGTGTGGCTGAAATTGGTCATCAAGTGCCTATAATCATGTTTAAATTGAATCGCCAGTATAGAGGAAATGACTCATTTCCGATTTGTGTTCGTCTTTTGACAATAGCTGACAGATTTTCAGYAGGTGTTGTATTGAAAAGCAATGTCAACTCTTTTTTTTTTCAGAGACACGTGGCCCAGTTGTTCAATGGACCCTAATATTGGCAACAAGTTTTAATTTTGGATTAACAAAAATTTTAATCAATTATCAGTCAAATGCTGAGTTTTGATAAAATATTGTTCATCACTTTTTTCTAAACTTTAAAGCTGTTGAATCATTTGTAAGCAGTTTCTGTATTTTTAAAACCCAAATTTCAGAGAAATATAAATTCATTCAGTCATTTTGTTCAAAATCGAGAAGCAAACTTAACAAGTTYGGGAGGTAAACCCAAACATCCCTCRTCTATAAACGACGAGTTGGGAGTGAAAATGCACTGAAGACTGATCCCAGCCACTCTACGAAGGAGGCTTGTTTCAGCCATTTGTATCTWTGATTTTGTTTTTATAGTCACTCTCCAATTCTAGTGAATATACAGCAGGTGAGAACTAGGACTATCGTGGAAATCATGAGCTTCAGCTTTTGGATGAGCTCCTTCACCCTTATAGGCTAAAGTTCAATCAGGTATTTGGGCTTTTAAACTTAACCAAGTAGCTTTGGTCAATTTACTTACATAAGAGTTTTCCTTAAAGCAACACATAAAGTGGGGTGCGAAGGTTTGGGCAGCCTTGTTAATTTTCCTGATTGACCTTTATAAATCATTGATTGTCTGGATAAAAAAAGATCAGTTAAATATATCATATAGGAGACAAACACAGTGATATTTGAGAAGTGAAATAAAGTTTATATGATTTACAGAAAGTGTGCAAT